TCTATCATGTAGAGGGGGGCATAGACCATGTCGCAGCTTGAACCTCTGTCCTACGTCATTGCAATCCTCTCCCTTCTTTGCGTCCCTCATGTTGTCCAAGATCAATATGCGGGTCCTCTGTGCGTCCAGTTTGAACAGGTTGGTCAAATGACGAGACTGGTTCTAAGATACGCTCTTGTTCACTCTGTAGAGCCAACATGGTCTCGCTTAATGTGCGAAACTCATCAAATGTGAATGAATTTTGGCCATCAGTAGCCAAGTAGTATGTCCTCTCATGTGCAGAAAAATATACCAAAAGTGAGAAAACAGCTGCATCTCTCGTCATCCAACGTCTACTATGGCTCATATACTACCTCATGTACTCCGAATTGGAACTCAATAATCCAATTTGAGGGACATTGCTGAAAACCCAATCCATGCGTCTCTCCCATAATGCTAAGACGTGTCTAAACTTGTCATTCCAATTCTCTCCCGTCTTCCCTCTAAGTGTAATGTCATGTAAGGCATCAAGTTGGTATGGAGCACGAGGAATGTGCTGCACCATTCCAAATTGGCGCATTACACGGTCTGGTTGATGCCACTCCCAAATCTAAATGCAAATAAGAGGCACCACTGACCTCCAAATGTTCATCCCTTGCAAGCATATGGGCGGCAATGATTCAAGTAACTCCTGCCTATAAGGCTGCCACACAATCTAATAATTGAAATAGAAAATTCATTAAATTCAATCAAAGTGAATTTTTTTTAAAGCTATTATTAAAGTGTATGAAACTAATAAATACCTCATACCGTTTAAGACGATCAAGTTTATATCTATAGTATGCAACATCTTTCTTCGCCTTTCTAGGCACCCAATTTACTAACCAGCTATAATATAACAAAGTAAACAACATTAATTTAAAATCATTAAATTATATATCATCATTTATCTAAGTATAAATTAGGTCAAAATGTTTACCTAGCACCATATGGAATATCATGCCGCAAATGTGGAGGTCTAGGAGGAGACAAACATGGGAACCTATCCCAGGCCCACATAACTAGCAATGGAGTCAAACCATCGATGGCAACTCTGTCAATATTTGTTGCCATGCACAATTCTCTATATAAGAAACTAAGAGCTGCTCTTCCCCAACTATATTGCTCTATGATGGTGAAGTCCTCAAGTAAAGGGAGGTATCAAATTGTAACTCTGCTGCTAGAATGATCTGCTAACATGAACCCTTCAATCAGTCTCATAATATACGCTATAGCAAATCTTGTCAGTTGAAGCTCGTTGTGATTATGCATAGCAACGTCAGTGAAATGTTGGTCTAACCAACGAAGCTTCAAGCTGCTCCCCACAAAAGCCTCTGGTGGTGGCCTAATACCTAAATTGTCCTCAACTACGGCCAATTACCGCCAGTCGCTGCAAATACTAGAAGTCCATCAACCCGAAGACCTATCTGTATGGCTACATCTTCAAGCGTTATGGTGCACTCTCCTGGTGGCATATGAAACGTGTGTGTCTCAGGCCTCCATCTCTCAACCAATGCGGTGATCAAATGTCTATCCAATGAAAAGTTGGCAAGCTGCGCCACTCCAACAAAGCCAGCCATCTCTAAATGTGGTAAAATCTCTACAGGAATATTGTCTAGGCCAGCTGGTATAAACTGACACTTCCTGACCTTCATCATGGGATGCTTTCAACCATCCCAAATGTGTTCAAATACATGCATACTTTGAAAATGCAATAATGATGACTCCTCTGGACCTGGATTAATCACTAGACCTTGCGAGGAAGATGAAGTCATCTGATAATTTAAAATCAAATATTAGTATTATTAACAATAACAATAAATTAGTTTGACTCATATTTCAATTATTTAAATACACAACACTAAATTTAAAAATAATAAGGCTAAATATGGATAATGGTATGGAACAAACAAAAATTAATATTACAATTACATATTAATATCTAATATTATTTTATTTACATTATTTTGTTATATATATATATAGATGACTGATATTTTATTTTACAATATAATTACACTTTTGTTTTAAAATTTATAATGATATAACTGTATTATTCCTACGACAATTTATATATTAGAGTTATAGTTTATCAAAGTTACAGTAGTTTAATATTTATGTATAGCAACATATTTATTAACTTACGTAAATTTATTTTAACAACTTTTTTATTAATTGTTCCCATTTAATATATCTAACTTAATTATATTATTACTTCAATATAATTTATTTTTATTGTGATAACATAAATTTATTTCCTAACCACAGTTAATATTAATCTACAAAGCTATAACATTTTATAAATTAGTTAAGCTATATTTTTTATTATTACATAGGTCAACTTGTTAATTTTTTCAATAATATATATAATTATAGGATTACGTAATTAAATTTTTTTAACAAAAGTTACTAATATAAATGTTATTTTACTCAACAACAACCAAATAATTTTTATATATTTAAAATATAATATGTTTTTATTTTTAAATATTTCAATTAATAATTTTTATGAATCTTGAAATAAATTATTTAAATAAATATTTTTTATACGATAGTATATATTGATTATTTCAATTGAACTATATATATTTCATTTTAATTATCATTTAAATTGCCTCTTCATATCAAATTAAAAATAATTTTATTATAAGACAGATCTAGTTTATCACTAAAAATTTAATAATTTCTAATTTACTTATAACATCTTTTATTGTACTAGTTACTATTTTTAAAAGTAAGTTTATCTAAAAATTTATTTATTTCTAATAAAAATTATTCTACATTTTAAAGTTTTTTACATTACATTTTTTTTCTTTTAATCACCCTCTTAATTAATTTAAACAATAATAAAATTTATTACAAATTTTAATAAATAATTCATGTTTTACTATGCATTTTTTAAAATAATTATGCATTTTACTATTTTATAAAAATCCTATACCATTAATATATTTTATTTATTAATTACAATAAATATTTCATCTATTTTTACTTAGATTAAGTACAAAGTTAAACATAATTTAGTCACTTAAATGTACATATATACATAAAATTCTAAATTTAATGCTAAACTACCCCTAATACAACATTATTTAATCTATATCTAAATCTAATTTTCAATCAAAAAATAATTCAGATATTAAAATTTTTTTTCCTACATAATATTATACAATAAAAATTTAAGGATTCAAATAAAATATAATAAAAATATATAAAACTTCCATTCATCACTAACCTGTCACTGAACAAAATGGACTGGCTGAGGACCGACGAAAGACAACCAACGAAAATAGACTGCAATGTATAAGAGATAAAACTGCAATGTATAAAATTTTAAAACATGTAGAAATAATTTATTTTTTTTACAAATAAAATTAAACTTATTTTTTTCATAATGTTATGTTTACCTTTGGATTTATCTGAATACACTGTAAAATTAGAAACTTGATCAAAAAAATTTCATAGCCACAATGAAAATTTTTCTTGATGCTGGCGTTAATGGAGGGAGGGAAGGAGGAAGGGGAAGATGAAGTCGTCCGTAGCACCCATTTCGACGAAGCCACGTGTCCAACTTCTACTAGTATCACACCAACTTAGTCGATAGCCCTGTCGATTTTTCAGACTCGATACAGCTACGATTTCAACACATGTCCATCTTTCTCCCTAATCGTTGATTTTAAACGTTTACGTCGCTAATGAGACGATACAAATTCTATTATGACATGTGGTTACTATCGCATCTATAGGACCGATACTCATTTTATTATTATTATTATTATTTTATTCGTCCAATTTCACGTGTCAGCTTATAAAGCTGTATCGACATTCTAGAATGATAGAGTATTTAAAAAATATTAAAAATTTGTTATCGGCTATGCAGGTGCGAGACAACTGCTAACTTGGCAAAAAATATATTTTAAAATAAATCTATTTCGAGAATTTGTTTTATAAATAATATTATTTAAATAAATTTACCCGTAAACTGCAATATATTTTTGTTTTGCGTTTTTTTTAAGTTGTTTTGTGTGTTTGATTGGAAAACAAGGGTAAGTAAAAATAATTTTATAATGAGCATAATTAAATGATAAAAAAATTATTTATTTTATTTTTGTATTTAGTAAAATTCATTTTAAATGCACAAATACTAAATTTATTTTACTACACATTTAAAAAATAATGATGTTTCATATTTAAATAAATTTAGTTATTAATAAATTTTTTTGAAATTACTCTTTTATTTAATTTTTCAAGATCAAAATAAAATTTTGTAAAATTAAACATTAGGGGAGATTTTCTAATTCAATCGAGTAAAGGAATATTATGATTATTTATTAAGTTTGATTGCTATTTAAATGATATATATATATATATATATATATATATATATATATAATCATTCTTTGTGTTTTTTTCCACGTGTCTTACTAGTTTCTCCACATTTTTTTTATTAGCATTATTATACAATAACGAGAGATTTTAAGAATAAAATATTCATTATTTGGATAATTAATAATCTGAATTTAATATTTTTTATTTTTAAAAAATTAAAAACCACATATATTAGACATCCTAATTTAATTGAAGGGGATTATATACAATAAATTAATATAATAATTTTTTTAATTTATTTTATTTGAATTTTATATCTTATTGAATTTTATTTTAGTCTTATTTGTCAATTATGATTCTTTTTATCACCACAAATATTTTTAATTAATTATGATAGTTTTTTACTACCATAATTAATAAATAGGATTGATTTAAAACAATAAAATAAAAAAATAAAAATATTAAAGTACTAATTCTAAAGATTTGAAAACTTTTTCAAAATAAAGACCATAAAACTTGGCTATTACCAACTTAATGAGATTAAACTGAGAAGTATACAAGGATCTTTAGACACGGCGTCGTTTTAGCAGAACATCGAGAGAGAGAGAGGGGGGGGGGTTATTCGTTAACTTGGTGATTCTGCAACTGAGAGAGAGAGAGAGAGAGAGAGAGAGAGAAAGGAAGTTGAGGGAAAAAATGGGGTATGTGCTGAGAGTGAGATTGGCGTCGTTCTTCAGTGGGGCTGCAACGGCGTCGTTTGCGGGTCTCTATATCCTCCATAGGGATTACAAGCTCGCGCACCAATCCTTTACTCAACAGGTACATCCCAATAACCACGTCAATTTCCCCTCTTTTTTTATATACATTTCCGAATATTATTCCGTAAGATTTATGTCATTTGCGAGAGCCATTAATTAATAGAAGTTATAGGCGTCAATTAAATTATCTTTTTGGATGTTTTGGTTATGAAGAAGAGTAAAACTGACATGATGATGATGATGATTGTTGAGTTGAATAAAAATGTCAACAATAAATGTAAGAATGTTGCAATTGGACGGGCCTTCTATTTGCCTCTTAAATCTGTTCCTTTGTTGCCGTTGCTTTGTTAAGGCTATTCTACCGATCTGGAGTACAAAATGGAGGGAGGGTTATGTTTTTGTTTCTTAAAATTTAGATGGTATGTATGGGGTATTTTGGTTGATGGAGCGAGGCCTGTATGTTTTAAAGTTAGAAAATTAATCATCACAAATTTTAATGAAAAGCATACATTTTAGTAAAAATATGTGGATTAGATTAATTTAAACGCACATCTCAATCACATCAATTCCATAAAAAATTATTCCACCAAACTTCTTTTGACCCTGCTTTGGATTATACATCTTTTGTTAACGGACTGTTTCGTTGAATTGAAAGGAGGGGAGGGAAAATCATGTATTGGGGAGGAGGCAAAACGTGGAATGGAGGGATTTTGGCCTCTTCATTTTCCTTTTCTTTCCTTCCATTCCAAATTTCTGAACCATATCAGTTGTTTTTATCAAAATCCTGCCCCGACAACCAAACAATATGTTAATGATGTGAGTGAGTTGGAGGAGACGTTCTCTAACTCTATAGGGTTTAATTTGGATTTGAGAGTCCATCCAGGATCATCTTCTGTTCAATTTTAGTAGTATTTTTGTTAGTGGGGACAGGAGGGATGTAATGTTCTTCATGGACATATTAAGTTTGGATTGCTGAGAGGCAATCATGGTATGCTGTTACTCTCCCGCAGAATGAACAATAAATATACAAAATATTTAGAGGTATGGCGTGGTGCAATAACTCATGTCTTACCCGTTGACAGCAGCTATGTTGAACTAATATTTGATTGAAATAGAATTATTATATCTTTCCTACTTATTTAATTAACAAATATTTGTGATATCTACATAGATTTATTTATTTTAAGCATGCTTTTGGTTATGTATTCAATATGTTTAAGACTGCTCTTTATGTTGCCAGCTTTGTTATGTATGTTTTCCTCTCAACCTTTGCCTCTTTCTCCATTGCCTTTTTAAAATATTATTTTGGTCTCATAAATTCCTTCACTTGTTTCCTTCCCAAATCATTAAACAAGTACTTCTTGTTTTGTTCTCTGCAAGACCTCCTTGTGTTCTCTAGAACATTTCCCTTCTTTTGGATCCAGTGATTTCTTGCCTTCTTGGATATATGGTAATTGATCTCATTTATAGTTACTTAGGCTTGTTTGTTGGATAAACAAAACATGCAAAATTTACTTCTGCAGTGTTCCAAGGAACTTTAAAATTAAGTATAGGATGAATCTAATTAAATAATCTATATAGTTTACTTGTTTGTTGAACTTTTGTTGCATTCTTGGGTTGTGGGTGTCAAATGCAAAGCTTCAGTTGTTACATTCAATATAGTTTTAAAGGCATGTAGAAATTTTACTTGAATGGGGGATGTAATGGGACCTGCAGACTGGCTTCATAATTTATCATTGTTTCCTAATGAATGTCTCTTCTCTTTCATGGTTTAAAAAACTAAGATGTGATGTTCTTTTGCGAAATTAAAATGCAATTGGTTTTCATTTCCAATTGTTCCTACTGTGGCAAAATATGCATTACTGCCACATTTTTGGGATTTCTCTATTTGAGTATATAATCCTAATTACTTAGAAGTCAACAACTGACCTTACTTAGTGGAATAAGGTTTTGTTATCGTTATTGTACTTAGAAGACAACACACCGGATTTGGCCATATTGTTCAATGTTATTTGGAGATATTACATCGTCACACTGTTATAGTAATCTTTTTTTCCCTTGTATCTGATGAGGCTTTCATGGTTCTCAACTAGTTGCTGATATAAAAATTCAAATTTTACTTTAATCAGATTAGAGAATGAATGAATGATGGCAAGAAAACGTGCATAAATAATTTTCATAACACTCCATACTGCTGAGGCAGACGTGTATAGGGAATCAATTTGTAGCCATGAAACAATGTCCAGTGGCACTTGAGTTGCATTACTGTATCTCACCCTGAAGTGTGTCTAGTCCTTACTAATTTTTGGCTATAACTTCCTTGCATATTAACAATAATTGCCTCCCTCCCTCCTTTTCCTGCATGGGAATGGAATGAGTGCGTTTTGTTTGAAAATTGGAATTATAAACTTTACAACCGATGAGCTTCTCCACATGATGATTGAACTTTCATTACTTTTCCAGATGAATGACCTCCACCAGTCACTAGAAAGTCGAATTTCTACCTTGGAAAAACTGAAACAAACGGAAGCTTCTGAACAGGTGGGATCAACAGAATAAGTGTCCGGACTGAGGCATCCATTGTGGTTAATTGTTGGAAAAAAATTTATTTTGTTGTACTCATGAAAAGTGACTTTTCACTGTTTGCTTTCGTCAGGAATAAGTTCCATTTGACTCATTTTATGGTACCCCATATGGCCGAACATTTTCACCTGAAGAGTACGGATCAGTTCTGTATCCAGATGTAGTTTGGATCATTTGTTCAGCCTAGAGCATTTTCCTTTTTTCGCGGTTATATGTGGTAATTAGCGAATATCTGGGTTACATTTCCCCCCCTTTTTGAATATGGAAATTGTGTTCTTGTTGCTTCTATTTACGACATTTGGCTAGGAAAAAGATGATTTTTCTATAACAGAGTATTTAGTTTAATATTTTACACTGAAGGTTAAGTGAGAAAACGCAGGCATGAAGGGAAAAAAAACTTTCTGTTTCTGTAAGCATTAATGCTTTCTGTGGATTTGAAAAGAAGTAGAAAAAGCAAGAAAAAAAAAAATTTAGTATTTGTGCTTACAGAATATATTTAGAAAAAAAAATTTAAACTAATTTGGCTTACAGAATATATTTAGAAAAACAAAACAGAAAACTCTTTTTAAAAGAGAAATCAAACATATTTGGATTAAGTGAAAAGGAAAATAAATTTGAAAAAAAAAATAGTTAGGTTTTTTTCCTTCTGTTTATTTGGTCGGGTAAACAAGTGAAAAATATAGTATTTTTATTTAAAATGTGTTTTTTCTAGTATAAAATAATTCATAATATAACAAATTTAATGAATAAAAAATATTCTTTAATAATATTAACAATTTGACTTATAGAATATATTTTAGAAAAAAAGACTTATAATTTAATGTTGTTATTATAAATATTTTTAAAAAAAATTAAACAAAAATTTTTTAAATGGTATAGGTATTTGTTTTAATGCAGAAGACTTTTGGCTTTTTAAATTCTTACCACATAAATTATATATAAAAAAAGGTTAGCACAAAGAAAAAAAAAGGGTAATAATTTGTGCGATTGAGGTTATCTTTACCACATGTATCTTTGTGATAAGGAATGTTTCATTACATATTGCACTGGTAAAGTACTTATACAAGAACTACTTTCGTATATAAGCAAACGATTGCTGAAAGTGATAGAATGAGTCGCACTTACACAGGGTTAACTAAAACAATGCTCCCCCATTATTGATGCTTAGTGTTGGACAGACAAATTTCATTGAGACAAAAGTGGAAACAAGCTGTTCTACTTTGTAATATGGTAAGTTTTCTTCAGTTCAAAGGTGATAAAACTAAAAGAGGAGTCCTGCCAAGATTTTCCACATTCTCTCTCCACTTATTTGCATTTCTCCCCCATTACAGTTTTTCCCACTTTCTTTAAGAGGATGTTTAGATAACCAGCTTAATTAAATGTTTATTCGATAACATTTTTTAAAATTTTGGTTTATGCCAAAAATTTAATCTTAAAATTTATTGAAATAAGCTAAAATAAAGATCATAGGAGTTATAAGTTATCCATAAAATATTTCTTAAATATATTAAAACAAAAGCTGACTATAACCAAAATACTAAATATCCTTTTTTTTATCCTATATTGATGGCATTCCTGTTAAGTGCTTCAAAAACACACAATTGTGTGTACACACATTATGATTATTGTTTTAGAAAATATTAAAAAATGGAAATTGTTTACAAAAAATTGGTTTAATTCATAGAAAATGATTTTATTAATAATAATAAAGTAAATATTTGCTTTTAAGAAGTTATAAATATCTGGTTTATCAAATAGAAAATTGAACATTGAATAAAAATTAATGGTACTAAAAATCTCTTTTAGTTACTTAGTTTATCAAATAGAAAAAAAGAATATTTTGAGGTACAATTTCAAAAGCCGCATATTATAGAGTAAGAACAAGTGATCGCAAGATTAGACATGCACATGTTGAGGTTAATTGAAGTATCTCATTTTTAAGACATAAAAAGTAAGGTTATTATATTTAAGTGAACTGATAACAACATCGCTAATTTATATTGATAATTGGAAAACAAATTGATACAAATGTTTAATTTTTAATTAAGAATGAAAACAAGCTAATTATTGCATACACGATTGAATAATTAAAATTAAACATTATTTACATATAAAAAAAAGTAAAAATACAATTTCGTTTCTTTTCCCTGGTTCAAAAAATACAATTTCTGCTTAAAGACACATATGACACCAGCACCCAAATCTGACTTGGGAATAATTTAATGAGAAAATCCAATCTAATAAGTCAAGGGAAATGGGCCTCTTTTGAACTCTTTTGTAGACAAAAGTAACATCAGTGGGGCCCAGGCAATGCTACGTCACAATTGATGGTCTTGTCCAACCCATTTCAAATGGATCATAGAGTGAAAATGCTTATTCAGGGGCCTCTCATCGGACACCTGACACATTTTGGGCCTTTGTTCTTGGGTTTTGTTAAATACACAATTTTAATTAAAATAAACTCCCATATCTTAGATGGGGTTCCAGTTTTAGTAACTTTAGATAGAAGATAGATTTGGTGTCCAGCTACGCTCTAGTTTTTGTTTTGGACAGCTATAAACTTGTTTGTATCGCTATTTTGTTGGGTAGTGAGGCAGCTGGTTTTTCTTGGGCCATTGGGCCCTATTCTTTTCCTTTTTATATCTTAACGAAAAAAATATTAAATACATTATTTTATTTTATTTTTAAAATATAATTAAATATTAAATTTTTAGCTGTAGGAGATGTCTAACCAAGGACTTTTCTCGCGTAACTAAAGATAGTTTTCGCAGAGTTTTTGCAAATTAATTTTAACAATTGTAAAGACATCATTTATTTTTGTCAAATAAAGCTTTTATATACTTAAATGCATAAAGTGTGTACAGATTAAGAATTAAGAATATTGTACGTGCTTACATAAAAATCTCGTGGGGATGAATTTGGGACACGCGTTCAACTCTCCCATCTCTAAATTGTAAATACTATCTCCCTAAAGATAAAGAGGAAAAGGGTCTAAGCATGAGATGCTTGATTTGACATTTAAGATCTTCATGTTTGGGGGTGACATTTGATGTACCCTCTATTTTTCATACTTAGAACACCTAACTAACAATGAAATGCATTGCGTCAACAAAAGTTGGCTTTTTTATTTAAATATGGTAAATTTAAAAATAATTTTTTAAATTATAAGTTTTTTAAAATTATTTTTTTGTCAGGTATAATTTGGTTGATGTGGCATATTATTTTCTCAAAATAATTGGTAAAAATATTATTTTTTTTAAAAAAATAATCAATTTCGCCACTAAAAGTACAAAATAACCAGATCATGACACATGTAAGTATTTGGAAAGTTTCATAATATTAATGGAGAAATTAATGAGCAGTTTCGCCATAAAAAGTGAGAAATTCGGAGATGGTGACATGTGTCACAATCTTAATCAGTTTCGCCATAGAAAGTGAAAAACTCTTAGATGGTGACACGTGCCACGATCTTAGTTAATTTTGTTATAAAAATTACACAACTTACAAAAAATTGACAAGTGTCACGATTTTGACTCATGAATTAAATATAAAATTTTTAAATTTACTTAGTAGATATTAATTAAAATTATATTGAAATTAAAAAAATAAATTATAAACATAATAACAGCAAATATTTTTTATATTTACATACAAATTACTAATGTAATGACAATACATAATTTACTTTCATTAATTTTAATAATATAATAAAAAAATATTTAATTTATTAATCAAACAAATTAAATTTAAAAATAAAATTACTAACATAATACTATAAAATAATTTTTATTTATATACAAATTTAAATTATATTTTAATTAAAAAAATAAAATTACTAATATAATTCAGCATAATAGTTTTTATTAGTAGATATTAATTATAATTACATTAAAATTAAAAATAAATTACTAACATAATACCAAAAAATATTTCTTACATTTATATACAAATTACTAACATAATCACAATACATAATTTATTTTCATTAATTTTAATAATATAATCAAACAAAATCTAATTTAAATTTACATGCAAATTAGATCATATTTAAAATAAAAATAAAATAACTAACATAATATTATAAAAAAAATTATTTATATACAAATTTAAATTACATCTTAATTAAAAAAATAAAATTACTAACATAATTAAGCATAACAAATTTTATCTGTAGATGCTAATTATAATTACAGTAAAATTTAAAAAATTACTAACATATTACCAAAAAATATTTTTTACATTTATTAACGTAATCACAATACATAATTTACTTTCATTAATTTTAAAAACATAATCAAATAAAATCTAATTTTTTTTACATATAAATAATGACCACATTTAAAATAAAAATTAAATTACTAAAATAATAATAATTTGTATGTAAATATTAAAAATATTTTCTTGTATGTTAGTATTTTTTTTAATTTCATTGTAATCATAATTGATATCTAATGATAAAAATTATTATGCTTGATTATGTTAGTGATTTTAATTTTTTTAATTAAGATGTAATTTAAAGTTGTATGTAAATAAAAAAATATTTTTAGGTATAATATTAGTTAATTTTATTAGAATTATATTTAATTATAATGTGATTATAATTTTATAGTAAATTTAAAAATTTTATATTTAATTCACGTAATGGGTCAAAATCGTGACACTTGTCAACTTTCTGTAAGTTGTGCAATTTTTATGGCAAAATTCACTAAGATCGTGACACATGTCACCATCTAAGAGTTTCTCACTTTTCATAGCTAAACTGCTTATTAATTTTGCCATTAATACTGCGAAACTTTCCAAATACTTACACGATCTGGTTATTTCACACTTTTAGTGACGAAATTGGTTATTTTTTTAAAAATAAATTAATATTTTTACCAATCATTTTGGCAAAATAGTATGTTACGTCAACCAAATTACTCCAAACAGGGAAATAGTTTTAAAAAACCTATAATTTAAGAAATTATTTTTAAATTTATAATATTTAAATAAAAAAGTCAAAAAAGTTATATATGTTTTTCATTTGTAAATATTTTCATGTCGGTAATCTATAAATATTATTTTTTTTATATTCATTTGTGCTAATCTTTGTGGACAGTGGTACTAATTGACACATTGTGCATTTTACAAAACATATTATTTTATTTGAAGATATTTATTTACAAATTAGACTTAAATTTAAAATTATTTAGATGGAGTCTTTAACATAAAATAAAGAAGTCAAAAGAGAAAGGTAAAGAAATGATTTGAATACTTTTTTACGCAATATACATTGGGAAGGGAAAGAATATAATCCATTTTCCTAGGAAAAGTATGTGGATGGGAGGAACCTTGTGAGAGAAAGATAGAAAGAAGTGGCCATCCATATCGGTTGCATTTTCAGAAGATAGAAATAGACATGGTCCCTACCCTACAAGGAACCCAAATTCTTCATTATCAAATAAGAAAACCATAAAAATTATCAAATAATTCAAATGGAAAAATCATTGCAAAGTCGGTGTTTCCTTGGCGGTGGTAGCTTTGGAATACCCGAAGGACAAAAGAACGGAGAAGATTAAAGATGAGATGACTCACCGCACACACACCCCATGCCGTTGTTATTGTTTTCGTTCATTTCTTCCTCACTCTTCGACATCTGTCCTCTCTCTCTCTCTCTTCAATCTTCAAAAATTACACAATCATATAATACTATTATTCTTTTCTGACACCTCATTAGAATAGAATCACACCATCCTTCTTGTTGCTGTTTCATCAAACATCCCTAATCCCCTCCTCAACCAACCCTTTTGCAACAAAGCTTTCGAATTAGCGTATGTTCGTTTTTTTCTTAATTAACATTTTAGCTTACGCAATTTCCATTTTCTAAAGCAAAATATTTTACGATTGATATAAAGTGTGTTGACGTGAGCCGAATCTCCGTATGTACAGACGCAATTATGATTGATGTAATTCGAATTGGATTTCTAAATTGCATTAATTAATAGACACTGTTTGACTTTTAGTCGCTTGTTGTTTCCATAGCGTAGAGGATTAGGAAGGGTGAGAATTCCATTGAAGGTGGGTAGCGTTTGGAGCAATACAAGATTTGTGTGTTAACGTTGATGGTGGTGATTCATAGCGTTGGGTTTGTGTGCACGTGAATGATAATTGAGTGCATTTCACGGTTAGCAAATAGGGAATGGTAACATAGAAAAGTAAACGTCAATTAGTTAGTAAATGAGAGAGAGAGAGAGAGATAGAAGTTGTTGCTGCGATACTTTGCAAATTGCAGGTACTGATGGAGACAGCGCGCTTGCATTCTACAGCTGTCTACCCTCTCTCCTTTTTCCCTTCCGCACTTTCTCATTAATTCTTTTACTTTTTTAATATTCAATTTGTCATATAGTGGATTATTTTCGGTAATTTAAATTTTCTTTATTCTTCAACAATAATTGTTAATTATAATTAAAGAAAAACATTATTCATCTTAATTATGAAAATTTTCAATCATGTCCTTTTTTCTTTGATATAATAATAATACAGTATAGTTTCTGACTCACTGCGTTGGCATTTTGCTCGTCACTTGTTTTTTACATTATCGTTCTTTATTATGGTACTTGTTAGCTATTTTTTGAAACTAATAAATAAAAGTTTGTGTTGAATACAGTAATAGAAAATGCTATGGGTTATTCACATGCATATATGTACGCGCTTGTATCTCTCCTAGTGTCAGTCCAAAAGGCCCCAGTCATGTCCTTTGCGATTATTCCCCATAGCGAGACAGTTGAGAGTTTTTGTAATGTCTGTGCTTACGCTACCAAATTAAGATATTTTCATATTTGGAAATTGGAATTCATTAGGGATTTACTTTGATATGCGTTGTGGGCATCCAACTAATTCTCTTAAGTGAGGGGTGAAACCAATAGAGGTTATATTAATGGTTGTTTACATGCCAGTTTTTGATACTCTACTATCTGGTTGAGTAGAAGCACGATTTAATTCACAAACCAAATACGGTACAAGTGAGGATCATATCCTAAAGGTGAATTCACGCGCATAGCGTGAGTTTGAGCAATAAACTTTCGCTCTGAAAACAATAATGGGTGGCAGTCATTAATTCAAATGTGCTAGTTTTTTCCTTTACTTTTTAGTAGTTTTTAATTAAAAATGTATCATCAAAAGATATATCGTTAAATAACAAATTTTGTTATATTAATTATTTATTTTTAATTAAAGAATTCATTAAAAAACAAGAAAAATTATTTATATATATAAAAAGCAAAATAAAGAGAACAACAAATTTGGTTCATGCCTACGCGCTCTAGTTTCCTAATTGCGATGTTAGTCCAACGCGCCTTCTCACCCCAATGCCACATCGTGCAATCCTCGTTTCAACGTACTTTTTATAGTGCTAACGACAAAAGCAAAACACCGTTTTGGTTTCTTCTTTTGGTAAAAAAAAAAGTTTTGGTAATTTTCTTTAATGAAAATCCTAAATAATATTAATTTTTGCAAACAATTAATGAAAAACTAACTAATAGATGGTTCCGTTTTGTCACTTTCTCTTTTACCGACATGCATCCATTCTCTTACCAAACTTACGTTTTGTATTTCAAGTTTTTTAATCATAGTTTGTAATTAAATTAAATTTTATTTTAATAACAAGTATTGACATTTACATCTTTATTACGATGCTACAGTAAGTAAGACTAAAAATATATATTAAATTTAAGTTTTACCTTTACTTTAACTATTTTTGTGTAAGAACTTTCATATTAAGTAACTCTGTTGGTTGATTTTTATTTTTATTTTTATAAGGATCTCGCAATTTTACATGACTGGCCAGGAGGAAGACAAGCTATGCGAAGGTGGGTTAGTGTCCGTTTGACAAATGATTGGAAATATAATAAATGATTTATAAAAAATAATTCTATGTGATTTTAAAAACAAAGGAGCCCTTAAAATGTGAAGAACAAGGTGGGGGAAGGGTTGAAGAATGGTTAGAGAGGAGAGAGTGTGTGGGGGCAACTTGTTTGATGAAATCATTGAAATGTCACTGACAAGATTGAAGATTTAGTTTAAAAATGTGATGCTCTTGAATCATCATTATAAGGGTTTGGCTGGGGAAGGGAGGACATTCCACTACACCCTCATATATTGTCCTTTGCTTTTGACCCAGTATGGCTAAACAACCCCCTCAATAACCCATTGTGTTTTAACAAAATTTGGTGCCCGAAATTAGGACAAGTACTTTTATTATTAAAGAAGATAAAAACATAGCCACTTGCCTTACCTTTCAGTTTATATCATACCTACCTGAATGGGGTCACGCCAGTATTCATTATTCATCTTAAAGAGATGTGTTCCAAGTTTATGTTTTGAACTAACATTATTTTCACTTCATTTTAATAACATTTTAATCAAATTATGTAAGTCTAACTCCAATCTTACGTAAATGAATGACAAATTAAATTAATAAATTATTAGTAAAGAGATTTAATAAAAATAAAAATAAAAATAATTTTTCAAAAACTATGTTCCAAAAGATATTCTACTTCAAACTAGATTTTAATTAAAATTAATTTTGTAAAATTAAATAGCTCAACGTATCGCGATCCAAACGCATGCTAAAAGCAAAGTACCATGGTACAAGGTCACTGGAACGGCATTAAATACAAGTTTGGCGGTGCATGATTGTATTTAATTTCTTTCCTCCGTTATTGCTCAAAATGATTCAAGATAAAAGGGACTTCTCGGAGAGGACTAACATTTTGGCAATATAGGTTCTTTAATTTGTTTTACATTAATTGTAAATATGCTTAAAGCCCTGTAGTGTTTCAAATTCGAAACACTAACTACTCCTGTCTTAGTATTAATATATTAATGGCTTTGATCTTGTCATGATCAGCAACAACAACATGGCCATGACAAATGTTAATTCTTTATGCTGTGCCCATAAGTCTCCATCACATATAATCTACCATGCTCAAAATCAAAACACTTTCACACACTGAGCTAACATTATCTAGTTCTAGTTCATAAGAACCTTCAACCCCAAGAAAAAAGTTCCCATGTGACTATCACATGTCTCCATGCTAGTATGTCAAGAACGAAATAATTAATTGAGAAGTCAAACAACCTCACCTAGCTCTACCAAAATGTTTATTTTGATAAGGGGAGGGGGAGAATGGCATTGACAGCAAGAATCTCGGAGATTGCTCCCCTACCCCATTGAATCCTTCTTATATATATTTGGAAATTGGAATGTAAAACTGTAACTTTGGAATTTACTCGTGTCCTACTACTATACACTCAATTCTTACACATATCACATGATATTCTTCACAAATATATAACATAACAATTTTATACGTTAATATAACAATTTCACAAATATACAAAAAATATATAGTTTTTTTTCTCACTAACAACCCTCTCCTTCCATTAATATCTCTCAACATTATATAGGTGAAATTGATTATGTAAGCATCCATAGAAAATCGAATAAACAGAGTTTTGAGTGACAACGAAAACGGTGGGCGTTACAAGGGAAATGGTGTGTTATGTTCCGTGCTAGTAAACTAGATGTAAGATAAGAGTATCTGGAGCCGGGTTAGCATTACATGCAGAAAGTGATAGATACCACAATAATGATGAAAGATAAAAATGGACAAGAGAGAGAAAGGGTGAAAGAAAAGAAACAAAAACGGGTCACCTTTTCGCTAATTTGTCTGCTAGCGTGTGGTGCGAATGTTGGAAGCATGGAAGCAAAGCAAAGGCCGAGAATGGCGGCAACCCATAACTCAATCATAAATCCCACATCAACCTCACTATTCCTCCATAACAACACCTGGCACTAGAGGGATACCATGTTGTTACATTACTGTTAGACAGAGATAATAGATAAACACAAACACCACTTTCTCCTTCTCCCTTAGTTCAAAAGTTTGGTGGGTGATTCCTTTTTTTTTTTAATTATTAATATTGATGGGAAAGTGGTTTCCTTTAATTAGCGTATGAGTTATGGGTGAATTTGGCGTTTCACACAAGGAAGATGTTAAAAAAAGTAGCAGCAACAACAACGCTAGTGGGAGTAGTGTTCTTGGGTTGGACGTGAAGGTGCAGGATTCTGAAGCATTGCCTAATAAGATGATGATGATGATGGTGCATCATAATCATCACCACCGTCCATTGTCACCCTTTGATAATGATTCCTGTGCTGGTGATGGCGATGGTCCCACGACTTACATGTCTTTTACTAATCATATAAACCTTGTTAGTGATGCTTCTGTTCTTGGTCCTGCTATTGATGGTGGCTGTGGTGCTGCTGCAGCACCTGTAAGACCTTTGCAGCCTTTTCACACTTCTGCTAACACTTCTGCTACCTCCACCTTCAAATCCTCAGGTTCTTCTTTTAATTACTGTGTTTCACTTATAATTAATTATTATTATTTCTAGTTTCCCACTAATAGTATGACCCAAAGATTGCATCTTTTCAATTGAAAAAAATTAAAAGCAGAAGAAGGTTAAGATGGGTCAGAAGAGAGAGAGAGAGAGAGAGAGAGAGAGAGAGAGAATAAGAGGAGAACAGTTGTGTGTAAGAGTCTGAACAAACATGCTTGTATCTTGGTTGTGTTTAACAGCAGGTGGGATGGCGGCTTCGTTGGGGTTTCCTTTCACAAGTGCACAATGGAAGGAGCTTGAAAGACAAGCTATGATATTCAAGTACATGATGGCTTCTGTTCCTGTTCCACCTGATCTACTCTTACCTTCTTCAGTCACAACCACTCCTCGCTATCCTTGCAGTAATGACACTTTGCTTTCTTGTGGATGTTAATTAATAAGTGATTACTAGTTATCATACTTCTTGCACACACAAACAGAGAAGACAACATGTTCCTTTGCCTTTTCTAACTTTTTAGTCCATTCCACTTCAAAAGTTTGTGTCTTTACCTCTTTGCCTGCCCTCTCTCTCGACCAATTTTTGTATTTGTCTCAAAGATTTCACCTTTTGTTGTTCAAATCACCGTGGCCTTATCGATGTGTTGCTTTCCTTTCACCGTGTCTTGAATTTTGCATCCCCCATTTGTTTTATATTTTTCTCTCTTATGAGCAGTGGATGGTGGTTTCAATCTGAGATTAGCAAGCAGCACTGACCCAGAGCCAGGTAGGTGCAGGAGAACAGATGGTAAAAAATGGAGATGTTCAAGGGATGTTGCCCCTAACCACAAGTATTGTGAGCGCCATATGCATAGAGGCCGTCCCCGTTCAAGAAAGCCTGTGGAAGTTCACACCAACACCATCACCAACACCCTCAGCAGCAACAACAATAACAACCTCCAAATCAAGAGGCCTCGCCATGATTGTAATCCTTTTCCTACAGCTGGTGTTACTGTGGCTATTTCGAACCCTTCAACAAGAAAAGATGCATCTTCATCCCATTATCTTGCGCCTCCTACCACTCAGCCGTACCTTGAATCTTCCCTCTCTCTTCATAACTTTGGTGTCAAAGCTGCAAACTTTGGCTCCGTGGCTTCTGTTTCTTCAAATGAGGAACCAAGGTGAGTTCAGAGTTTTGAGTTTACTATGTTTCTGTTTCGGTTAGTGTTCTGATTCCTCCTTCTTCCCTGCCATGTTTTGCCATCATGGACCTCTTTTTGGTTAGTCTAAAACAAAAAGAAAAGCAAGCTAATAAAGCTAAAAAAATGTCCTCTATTGAAGTTCACTGCCTGTAGATAAACTGCTATTTTCTTTTAATTCGTATCTGTTAAAAAAAAAAAAACATTTTTAGGTTCTATAAGGTTAGTCTAGCTGATGGTTTATTGGTTTCTGTGACATGACATTGTTTGCATTTATAGTTCTTTATTCTTGATTTGAGTGGCAGAGGAAATGCTTTTTGCTGTTGTTTTGTGCAAAACTTCACTACGGTAATTGTTACTGATTTGGTGAATTGAATGTGAAGGGGTTTGGACTGGATGTTGAATGGAGATCCCATTTCTCTAGGAGCCTCTGATTCAGAATGGCAGTCTTTGATGCATAACAAAGTTGGAATGAGCAGTGAGAGTTCCTGTCATAACACCCACCCTCAGTATTTGAATTCATTTGCGCTGTATAGTTCTGGACTGGATCAACAGAACAGAAGCCTCCCTTTGTTCCTTAACCCTCTAGTTGTTCCCATGGAAAGTTTCCAATCAGAGAAACCAAGGGGTTTCATTGATGCTTGGTCAAACACAGAAACAGGTGAAAGCAATGCCAACAGCAACAACAAGAACTGTGCTGCATCAATTGGTAAACTATCCCTCTCTTCTCTTGATCTATCAATGGGTGGTGGTACTGCTGTGCATGAAGACATGGGTACAATTGAAATGGGTTTAGGCCTAATGGAGCCTGATGCAAACGCACACAATGACACCAAAATCTCTCTCTCAAACTGGCTCAACCCAACAGCACCTTGGGTGGCTTCAACTTCAACACCTGGGGGTCCTCTAGCTGAAGTTCTAAGGCCAAGCACTGTCACTGCTACCAATGAGACCACCTCCAATCCGTCTTCACCAGTCATAACACATGTTGAATCTAACAGCCCTTTGGGAACAATGGTGTCATCTCCATCTGGGGTCTTGCAAAAGACACTTGCTTCATTGTCTGATAGTAGTAGCAATAGCAGCCCAACAATTGCATCATCAAGGGCCAATTCTGAAATGCCCTTGCTAAGGTTTCAATCAAATGTAAATTAATTAACACCTTTCTACTACTACTTCAGTTCATTTAAATTGGGGTAGTAGAATTCTGTAATCTTGTTTTGCTTGCATATCTAGCCAACTGTGCTGGGATTCGGATAGCTATAGGCCGTATAGCCTATATTGTTGAGGGCTTTTGTTATATACTAAAAAACTCTGATGGACAATCAGTGTTTCTGTTTATGTGAGAAAAGACTTTGCAGCTTTAAATTCTACCTTCATGGAAACGTCACGATGTTACTTATCTCTACCCCCAAATGAATGCCATGGGGTTGTTTCTTGTGTGGTCCTGACCCAAGTTGTCGGAAAAGACATACATCTAACTTTGACTATGTCAACCGCTAACCTCTTTCACTGTTCTCTCTCTACAAAAATATCAAGTATTAACATATCTACACATTTTATTTTGAGCTTCCACTGAATTATTTGGATGGAATTCTGGTACATAAAAAATATATTTTGGGTGAAATCAAAATGCACCATAGATTTTAAAAAAAAGTTTTGTTAAAGCATCACTTTTGAGTCACGGAAATTTTGCTTGTAAAATTGATGACATATCCGAATACATTAGAACTTGGTTGCTTTTCTTTAAACTTTTCACGTACCTTTTTAGATAATAAATGAATAATCATTATCATATATTAAATATAATATTTTTTTGCCAGAGATTAAAGATCACTAACAATAATGTGGCGATAAAAATAATAATTTAAATATAAGCTATAAATGAAAAAAGGAAATAAATTTAAAGAGTATAAGTGACACAAAAATAAAACTACATCTTTTCAACATAAGTATCCGGTAAATAACTTTCTTTAGCGTCAATTAATACAATCATACTAATTAGTACTCGAACTATAAATTAAGATCCAACAATTCTTATAGGTTGATATGTTCGGTAGTGTGTATATATATATACTGCGTAGAATTGAAGAAGCATTTGAGTCAAATTAGAGTGCAATTAAAGTGGCACCTCATCCTTTTTCGCTTTTTTGGGAAAGGCTCCAGCTAACGAATTGCATACACGGATACCCGGGTGCCAAATAAATTGCATCGGTTATCCTTTGCGAGACTAGTTTCTGCACAATTTATTGCCTTTAACATGAATCGTACTTCGGTGGAGCCAAACGGGTTTATAACATGTTCGGAAAGTTTCAACACGTAAATTTACGTTTTGGGGCAGGAAACTCTCTTTATAGTTTGTGTTAATATGTTTAGTAATTTTGGAGCAATTAATTGCATTAGAATTGTGGTTTTGTAACTTTTGTTGTCAAAATACATAAGTGACGTGCGCTTCACCATAATCGCAATCAATAATATGTAATAAAGTGAATGTTGTTTTTATGAGGATTGTAATTTAAGTATTAAATTCATATATTGAATCACTATATCAGCTACAAATTTGGGTGATTACGAACAAGTTTGGAAGCAAAATAGCAAACTAAAACTACTAATTATGAAATTAAATGTCCGTTGCGGTTTAAATTTATTAAAACTGTTTTTAATCCGTTAAATACAATTAAGAGAAGCGTATACATTAATCTAAATAATAATTTTTGTTTGAAACATCTGTTTTTCATAATAATAAAAAAACACAATAATTATTTTTCTAGCTTTTAAACAAACAAGCCCCATCTTCACATAAAAACAATATGTGAGCAGAACAAGTGTAACATCCTTCTCTAATTTTCTTCATTCTATGAAAAATAGTTCTAATTTCCATCTTCTTTATCTGCTCTAATTTCCACTGTATCCTATGACTAGTAATCACAAATACACACTTTTTTTTTTAAAAGGGACAAATTACTCAAAGAAACTGTTTAATATATAGGACTAACAAGTTATAAAAGACCAGAGAAAAATTTTATATATTACTTAAGGTTTGTATAATAGCAGCTGAGCATAAGAGCAGCTTCAAAAGCCCAGCATAGACCGCCTAATTCCCTGCAATTTTGTTGAGGCCTCTCTCATGCTCCATCGATCTTTGGGCCGTTGTGCTGTGCAACACAAGCCCACCCTTATCACAGCAACTATGCACTCCTCAGCTTTGCGCATCCAATTCATGTTTCCATTATTAAAATGGTTGCCACCAAAGTCACCGCTGTGACAATCAATGCTCGAATTTTGTGTGGAATATTCATAATCATTAATAAGCCTTCTATCAGCAACCTTAAGCACTTGATTCTCATCCACGGCTGAGACAAATTTGTTAAGGCTTAATCCTTCTTTGAACGTTTCATCAGTTGGTCTTTTGGCCATGAACAACTCTAACAGTAGGATACCAAAACTGTATACATCACCATGGGTTGAAGCCTTGCCTCCTAGACCATATTCTGAAACATATCACCCCAATATTAGAGAACAACCATATTATATATATGAAATGTGTAACTGTGTATATTTATACACTTTACATAAGTAACAACTTCAAAACAAGAAAATACAAAATTATGAAGTCATATTTGATTAGTAAGCAATGGTGTGTACCTGGGGCAATGTAACCTATTGATCCCTTCAGTCCCAAAGTGCTACTTTGTTTCTCGGAAGGATTTTGAGAAAGAAACCTTGCCAATCCAAAGTCTGCTACATGTGCAACCATATTTTCATCTAGTAGGACATTGGCAGGTTTCAGATCACAATGTACTACTGGGGGTTCACAGTCATGGTGCAAGTAGTCTATGGCAGAAGCCACATCAATGGCAATGTTCAATCTTTGCAACAAGGTTAGAGAAGATCCTGATTCATCATCTCTGGGGTGTAAACTCACGTCCAAGTTACCATTGGGCATGAATTGCATAACAAGGGCCTTAAATTCCTCTCCCTTGTAATCAGCACTGGAACAAGAAGTGATAACTTTCACTAGGTTTCGGTGCCTAATATTTTTCAAGGCTTCACATTCAGCATTAAAACTCTGAGAAGCTTTGCTTTGTTGCAGGTCCAGGACTTTGACAGCGAGGGTAGTGGTTTCACCAGTGCTGAAGCTGAACAAACCCTTGTACACTGATCCAAAGCCTCCTTTGCCAATCAAGTTTTCAGCTGCAAAGTTGTTCGTAGCAATCAGAATATCACCATAGGAAATATTCTGAGGGTACCCTCTGAGAGGTGCAGATGACAAACTGGTTTTTCTCTTCTTCTTTTGAGACATCATTATCCAAAATAGAAAGAGAATTGAAATGCACAAAGCAACAGCACCAATTACTGCAAGTATGATAGTGGGTAAAATCTTTCTTTTCTTTCTACCAACAAAACATAGGAGTACGCCAAACTTGTGCACAATTTCCTTGTTAAGGCTACATAGTTGGTTGTTACCTCGAAGATCAAACTTGGTAATGTTCACAAAAACACCTGGAACCTTTCCTTCCAAATGGTTGAAAGACAAATTCAGTGTCTGCAGATACTTGAGCTTCTCTAAACTTTGAGGAATAGGGCCAGTGAGACTGTTCGATGATAGGTCCAAAGTATCAAGGGACTGTATATTCCCTATATTAGTTGGGATTGAGCCATTGAATTTGTTTCTTGCCATCTCAAGAAACTTCAAGCTGGAACAGTCCTCTATTTCCCTAGGAATGTTCCCTGACAACTGGTTGTCAGAAATAAACATGAACTGAAGCTGAGTCATGGTGCTGATTTCATGAGGAACCGAACCATGCAGAGAGTTTCCTTCTAAGTTCAAGCTTATTAACCCAGAAAGCTGAAAAATTTCCTTCGGTAGGGTCCCACCGAGCCTATTCATTTGCAGGTAAAGAGAAGTTAATCTCTTGCATTGTCCAATACTTGAGGGAATTCTACCTGAGAACTGGTTGATTCCCATTGCAAGTATATCCAAATTTGTGAAATTGCCAAAAATGTCAGGAATTTCACCAGATAAACTATTGTTGTATATCAATAGCCGTTGCAGCTTACGCAGTGCTCCTATTTCTGCTGGTAACTCTCCAGTGAAATTATTGTTTTCAAAAGACAAGGATATGAGATTTTGAAGCCTCTTCAGTCCTTGAGGAATGCTACCATTTAGCCAATTGTTAGCAACACAAAATTGTTGGAGATTGCTAGAGAGATTGGCAACTGATCTTGGAAGTTCCCCAGCCAGATAGTTGTTATGGATCATGAGAATTTGCAATTGGGTGGAGTTTCTAAGGGAATCAAAGAATTGGAAATTCAATGAGGTGGTAGAAGAAAAAAAATTTTCACCAAGAATCAGGCGGGTAAGGTTTCTCAAGTTTTTGAATAGAGGTATTGACCCGTGAAAATAATTTTTAGCAAGGTCAATGTATTTAAGATGTGAGGCGTTGGATATGGAACTAGGAATCACTCCTTCAAACCTATTGTTTGCCAGAGAAAGATTCTGTAAATTTGGAAGTGCATGACCAAAATTTTGTGGCAACTTGCCTGATAGATTGTTCTTTGTCACGGATAAGTAAACTAAGGACGAGATGTTAAAGATAGAAGTGGGAAACTCGCCAGTGAAGTTGTTTTCTGAGAGTTGAAGTTGAGAAAGATTGTGAAGATTACCAAGTTCACTTGGAATCTCACCCACAAAACTGTTTCTTGCCAAGGCAAGATCCTTAAGAGAGAAGAGATTGCCAAATGATGGAGGGATTTTTCCGGTGAGATTATTGACTGACAAGTCTAAACTTTGAAGACGGTGGAGATGACCCAATTGTTGTGGCAGTGTACCACTTAGATTGTTTAAAGGTATTTTAAGGACATTAAGAAGTGAGAGATGGCTTAACTCGAAGGGAATTTGGCCATGAAAACTGTTGTTTGAAAGGTCAAGTGAGTGTAGGTAAGTGAGGTTGGAGAGTTGAGAGGGTACTTTGCCAGAGAGGCCTAGTCCTGGTAGAGTCAGAGATTGGACCCTATTTCCAACTTTGGAGCATGTGACACCGAACCAGGTACAGTGATTGGAATCTGAAGACCAGTTTGATAGAACATTTTTTGGGTCAATGACCTGGGATTTGAAAGAGAGAAGGGAAGCTTTGTCTGTGTGAGATGTGATGCTATGAAAATGATGAAATAGAAAACACAGGAGCAAAGTAAGTCGAATGGGGAACATTGTGAGTAAACTTCAAAAGTAGACAATGTTGGATTACATGTTCATGTGCAACTCTCTACGAGGATGCATATATTTATAACTAAATGCTCTTTCATGTGTTTGATTGATTCAGGTTAAGGGCTTTGCTTGGAACCCGGCATGCAAGCTGGACACTACTTTCTTAGACTCTTAGGTTGAATGCTTGGGTCAGCGCTCGTTGCCAGGGGAAAGAGGTAATGTCTAATCAAAATTTACAAGTCAAAGTTACTTACTAAATAAATAATGGGTGCTAATCGTATCACTATATGAATGTCAAGGGAACATGGCAAATCTCCTTCCATCCTCATCGTCATTATTAATTTTTCTCTTTTAAAATATGCCTCCTTATTTTAGAGAATAAAGTATGATTGTAATTATTAATTCAAAATTAATAGTTTCATAACCTTATATTTAATCATACATGTGCTTGTATTTTATCATAATTTTAATTCTTTTTAGTAAATAATTATAATTTAATTTATATTTAACATGCACTCTACCTTAGAGAAATCATAACCTTCTTTAATATTTAGTGGCAAAATATATTATAAGTATTTGTAGATATTTAATAATTCAAAATTTAATTTAGAAATACAAATAATAAATACCATAATTTGATCTATCAATTTAAATAAACTATTTCTTCTATTTATTTTTATTTATCACATCAAAAAGTTAATGTTGGAATTGAAAAATATATTTAATGTTTTAGTTTTTAATAAATTTACCATATGATTTTTATTATACCTTTCTATTATTATTATTAATTAATTAATTAATTACTCTTTAATTTGTATTAAAGATATAACAATGAAATATGATTAATATTGTCTTAAACTTTTAAAATAATAAATAAATATAAATACAATTTATTTTAAAAATATAGCATGCGAAAAATTGAAGGGAGTATACGTTTAAAATATATAACAAATATACCATAAAAAAATATATATTACCAATAACATTTGAGGTTCAATTTAATTTTAGAGGGTTGGCATTTTACAAATAATACCTTAGTTTTTAGTAAGTTTTAGAAATAACACATAAAAAATATTTATCATTTTAATAAAATATTTAGTAATTTTTTGAGCACTATATGAATATTTCAATTCTATGAATAAAATGAAGATATAAAATTTATAAAATAAAATAAAAAAATTATAAAAAAATTAAATTAATATTAAATTAAAAATATTTAATATAATATAAGAAAAGTCACATTACATAACGAAGAAGATAATTAATTCATAAAAATTCTATTATCTAAAACTGATTTGTATTTCAGATATAGAAATATATTTTAAGTAAAATATAAAAGAGGTATGCTATCATATTTTAAAAATTAATAAAATTTATAATAATAAAGAAAAATTATGAAAAAAATGAAATCTTAAATAAATTAAGGCTGAACTGAAAGAATACTCAAAGTAGAAAAAGTCAATTGACTCAGTAAAAAAGAAAATTAACTCCTGAAAATATTTGTACTGCATAAAATAGCTCTAAAAATATTTTTGTTTAAAAATTATTACTCAAATTATAAATAAATTTTAATTATTTTAAACTCATACTTCTCGTTGACATGTTTGTTATACAAATGTATTATAATAAAAATTTATAAATTTTAAAAATTAAATGCTAAAAATAAGTTACATAAAAAAAATGAAAAAATGAAAATCTAAAATTAAAAATGCATTTACCCTTTTTAAGTTATTCTATTGACCTTTTCAACTCAAAAGTGTAATAAGAATAAATCTCTTCTACTTTTGTACTACTTTAGTCCAAAGTGTAACATCTAACATCACGAAAAGTAATCTATAGATGTTGCTTTGCTTTGACAGTAAAGTTCACAACAATGTTTATTTGATATTGAATTAGTCTTTCTGCTTTTCTCCAACGCCAAAGGGCGTCCAAAGAACCATTTTCCATTATCTTATTAGCTTTTGATTAAATTTTAGTATAAAAGAAAAGTCATTACAAAGAGAAAACAAGATAGAAGAGTGCCTCTGATACATAATTAAAATATTACATTAATAATTAATACATTCAAATTTTCCATTTTATAAAATAATATATAAATGAATAATGCTATATACAACTTCATACTATAAAAACCTCTAAACTCAAGGCTTCAAATGGACTAGTCACTTAAAAAACTCCTCAAACACATGCTAAAATTGTTATTTCTATCGTTCATTTTTCTAATTTGTGCTTAATGTATGAAACTATATGAATGTCGAGCCAAGTTGACAAACCTCCCTCTAATTTTTTTTCGTAGGTATTTTTAGTGATTTTTTAAATATTTTTTTATTATAAATTCTGTATAATATTTTTCATATATAATTATCTTTTACTCTATTATATTTTATGTGATCATTCATTCCTTTTAACATTATTATTTTTGCTTTTTTTACTTTTTTTACTTTTTTTTTATACATGTTCGTCTAAAATTTAACGTTTACTCTCGTGTATAACAGCTAATCGTATAATTATATAACAAAGCTTTCATTTTATCTTAATATATACTTTTTATTATTACAACTAACTTTTAATGTTTTTTTTTTCACTTTAAGTACCTACCTTATATAGTGTGAGTATTATCTTTGTTAATTTTTCTAGTATTTATTATCTTAAGTACTTGAATTTAAAAATTTGTGCTGTAACATTATTTTTAATTTTTACTTAAATATAGAAGAAGCACAAATGCTGCTAATGTATAATTAAAATATTACATTAATAACTAACAAATAAATTATTTCATATTTATTATAAATTTTAGAAAAATTTTAACCTACAAGTGAGTGTACATATCAATTATAGCGTTTTAAATCCTTCCATAATTGTTTTTATACAAATTATGTTTGTAAGCAGATGTTAAGCAAAATCAAGAATTAAGAATATTGTGATTGAAGGTAACAAGGCAAGTTGAATAATTAAAAAAAGTAAACATGAATAAATTACATAGCTGAGTTGATGTAGATGAAAGCCTGAGGCTTTAATTTTTAACTTAACTAATCTCATAATTTATTGTCATACAAATTGTGTTAAAGCAATTTTTAATAATTTAATCAATTATTATTATTATTCAATAATCATATCAATAACAATATTCTTACCTATATGTAATAATGGATAGCAATATATAACTAAGAATATTAAGAAATATTAAATTTTAATTAACTGATTATAAATTTAAATGATAATTAATTTTTATAATTTTTAAAATTAAATTGTCTTTTAATTTTACTGATCCTTTAATGATATGATAACATATTAATTAATTAATTAAGATTTATTTTTGAGTGGCCAATTAAAGAATAACAATAAAAAAATAAAAATTTTAATTAATAAATATCCATCAATATAAAAATTTTAATTTTTTTGAACTTATATTCTCATCTATATGTTTACTATCCAAATGTTTAATACACATATAATAAAAATGTGTTAATTTTTAAAAAATTAAAATTAAACCTTATTTTAAAGAAATTAAAATTATAAATTTAGAAAAATTAAAAATATATTTAACCTTTTAAAAAATTATTCTATGGACGTTTTCCACTCAATACATCTCTTTCTATTTTTATGCTGTCGTTGGGGGGACATCTAATCTAACATCACGAAAAGTCAACTATAAATGTGGCTTTGCTTTGACCGTAAAGTTCCCAGCCATTAATGTTTACTCTGATGTTGAATAGTCGTTGTGCCTTTTCCCAACGGCAAAGACTAATGTCCTAGTCGTTAATATTTAGTAGCTGTTCATTAATTTTTACTATAAATCGATGCGTGTAATTCTATTATCAGATTTTTTTGGCTAAATTGTCATTACTAAATAGATTATTCAGTTGTTTATTAAAACAAAAAAGTTGTCCTTGTATGAGAAAAAATGATAGAAGAGGCACGAGTGGCTCTGATACATAATTAAAATATTGCATTAATAATTAATTTCCATTTTTTAAAATAATATAAATAAGTAATGCTATGCGTAGCTTCATACTATAATAATAAAATTATTTTCACATTTATTATTAATATTAATTTATAAATTCATACATAAATGTCTTATTTATTTATTTTAAATTTAACATGAATAATATTAACATGAAAAAGTTCTTATAAAAAAATGATTTGACCATATATTATTATTCAATTTTATAATTAATATTTTCAATTATTTTATTTTTATTTACACTTGCTTTTTTGGTCACCAAGATTTTAACTATTTCATCTTACCTGTTCATTTATACTATTACTTAATTAACGACTTTTTAAAAAAAGGAGAATTAGTTTATTTTTAAAAAATATTACCCATGAATATTTCTATATATAATATTTAATTTGTTTATTTAATGAACTATTTAATTATGTATATTGCAAATATATAATCATTACTTGAGTAAATGTGGTTTGAGAGATAATATTAACAATAATTTCAATACGTTTAACATTAATATATGTTCTATCAAGTATATATCAAATAATTAAGGATTTATTTGGCTGTTAAGATGAGATAAAGATAGAAAGATCCTCACGACGGAAAAGATCGACCAACATTGTACTATGCGTTTTGGAACCTTCCATTAAATGCCTTTTAAGCAGTGGAAATAAATGAGTAGTTGTTACTTTATTGGATGTGAGAAAGCACTTAATATTATCACGGAGACTTTTGCACCATTGTCCACTGCTAAGCAATTAAACGAACACAATAAGTGAAAATGTAAGGAAGAATTAGTCATGAAGAATAGTCAGCGACAAAATTAGAATTACCGTAAGTGAAATGTAAGTCAAAACAGCGTGTTTTAGCTGAAATTTGCGAGAGTTATAGATAAGATGATTTCATTCTATTTAAATGATGTAATCTCCATTGTAATAGGCATGTAGAAATTAATAACATTGAGTTTTCTTAAAATTCTTTGTGCCCTTGTGTGGAGTTCTGCGAGTGATGTCGTGAGTGTGTTTGGTGGTAAGTATTGGTGAGAGGAATT